TTCCCTACACTGCTCGACAACACTCCCTTTCTGAACCTTGTCCCTGCCCAGACTCTGGTCCCTGCTCTGGCTCCTCCCCTTTCTAGACAAGGGGTAAGGGCTTCTCTCAGGCATCCACCCAGCTGCGTCCCTTGAGGGAACTTAGGCGCGTCCTGTCAATCACCATTATGCCGACATCACAGAACCCCAGATTAGGACCCACTCAACCCCGAAGCCAAAGCTGTGGGGCTGCCGACACAGTGACCGCAAGCAGTCACTGTTCCCTCCACTCACATTCACTCAGAGTTTACACATTCCCTCCCCTGGGGGATCCCTGTCCTTGGGAACTGATTGGGCTCTTCTTCCATCCCGCTGACAGGCCTTCCCCTAGGATCTGATGGGGCTCCTCTTCCATCCAGCTGACAGGCCTGCGCCTAGGAGCCTATGGGGCTCCTCTTCTGTCCCGCTGACAGGCCTGCGCCTAGGAGCCTATGGGGCTCCTCTTCTGTCCTGCTGACAGGCCTACACCTAGGAGCTGATGGGGCTCCTCTTCCATCCTGCTGATGGGCCTACACCTAGGAGCTCATGGGGCTCCTCTTTCATCCCACTGACAGGCCTATTTCAGTCAGGTCCCGGGGACCCTACCTTGTCCAACGCCCTGGCCTTGGTCTGCTGCTCCAGCTCCCTCAGCCCGGCACCCACCCACTCAGCCTCCTGCTGCTGCCCATGCACCATGGAGGCCAGCACCTGCTGGGAGGCCTGTCACAGCGTGGCCTGTGTCAGTGCCCCTGCTTCCTCTCCCTAAGCTCAAGGTCTTTGCGAGCTTGGCATTGCCCTTGGCCAACAGCTCCACTTCCCTCATCTTGGTGCTGGAGGAGAAAAATGCTGCTCAGCTCTGGCTCGTCTCAGCCCACCATCTGCCGTCCTGGTGGCTTCCAAGGGCCAGCTCCGTCGGCTTTCCTGGTCAGGGAACCAAAATGTTACAGCAAGCGTACAGCTTAGTGTTACAGCTCATGACCGAGGACAGAACCGAGTGGCACACGAAGAGTCGGAGAACAGTCTTTATTCAGCCACAGCAGGTTCAACTGAGCATGTGTTACAGCCCTCTTCACGTCTTCCGACCTTCTGACACCCCCTTCCTCGGTCTCCTCCTGCTTTTATACCCTTGGTAGGACTCCAAAAAGCGTCCAATCAGCGACAAGCTTTAACATCCAATGAGCAACAGTGGGACTCAAAAAGTACCCAATCAGTATCGCGCAGCCAGCGCGGTTGGAGGGCAGGAGCCGGCCGAGCTCCCGCAGCCTGGACAGCAGACGTCAGCGTGCGGGGCCTGGAAGCAGATGACTGCACGTGGGCCCGGCAGCATTCCGGCACACGGCCGGCGGCTCTACCTCCAGGCGCGGCCCCAGCAGCGTGCCCTCCAACCGGCCTGCGCAGCCTGACCCGCGGGGATGGGGAACAATGGGAGGCGGCAAGCGGCCCCATCCGGGTGCCCGACGTTTTCCGCGTCAGGATAAACATAATATCATTTGGTAACAATGAAATGAATTCTTATAAGATGCAAAGGATCAACATAAAATTATGAAGAAATATCATCTATTCACAAAAGGAACTATGAATAAAAAATACTCCAGGACCAACTTCAGTAATGTATTTCAAAACAACCCAATTATGAGGAAGCACTTTCGTGGTGGGTGCAGGGTGCACCAGTAGGAGACTGGACATGCTTGAAGCGCTGGCAGAGTGCAGTGGGGCGGGGGGAGCAGGGGCAAGATATGTAACCCTAACAATATTTGTACCCACAGAATTTGAGATAAAAAAAAAAAAGAAAGAGGAAGCAAGGTGGCTATGGTGTCTCCATTTTAGCTTTCTTCATGTGTCCCCAAACCCCACAGTAGGTTGGGGCTAGGAACAAAATGAAAATAAACATATTTTAAATAAATAAAACTGAGCAATTCATGCATAGAAAGCATGTTCTCCAAAAAGCTACTGGAGTCCTTTGTCCTGGTGATGAAAACACCATGGGAGAGAGATTTACTGTAAAGAATCATGAGCTTCGAACCGTACTCATGGCAGTCATGTGGCTACCTGTAAGATCTTTGTTTTCATTGCTAATTTCATGGCAACAAAAATAATAGCATATCATGTGTGTTATAACATGTATAGAATTAATATATATGAAAACAATAGCATAAAGTCAGAGAGCATGTATGGACTTACACCATATTAAGTTCTTACATGTTCTGTGTGGTGTTAGCTAGCCATGGTAATTAGACACAATACTTAAGGAAACATTAATGGGATGGCTCCAATAGCCACTAAAAATAGTTATACCTCATTAGCCTCACATAAAAATAGATAATTAGTATATTAAAAATCTCAGACTATTCCCAAAGAATGTAACAAGGAAATCAAAGTGGGAAAAAACATCGGACAGAACAAACAGAATAAAGTCTCCAGCTTTGATTTTCAGGGATGAAAAGTAAAAAGTCCAGACAAATCCACAGAGGGCAGCTTCCTACAGCCTCTGTCACATTTCTTCATCCAGTGAAGCGACAGGATCTACTACGGGTCAAACGTAAAGAAAATCTCCAAGGTTCTCAGGGACCAATCCATTGCACACCATCGTATTCTGCATATCGGTCAGCATTTTGGAAAAAATGCGAGTGAACTGTAGATGCAAAATAATTAGAAAGGCACATTCACAGTGTTTCAGGCTTCTTATCTGCGTTTGTAAGATGAAATCTCCAGCTGCCTGGCATAAATATTATCTGGACCCACACTGAACTAGGTACCAATGTGTGGCATGTATCAGCTTTATCCACATGGAGGTAAATTTCATGGAAACTCTCGAGTACCCTTGCAAAATGGCACTTTGCTTTAGACAGCTCCACTGGCAGAGGGAAATACCCATTTTTTCCAATAATGCCATGGATTTTTTTTTCAGCTTACGATTTAATCAATAGACTGTCACATTCCCCCACAGAGTGCCAGCATCATGTTGACTTTCTAAGATCACAGTGGATTTTATGTAAAAATCGGTACTGAATAAGTGGTTACTGAATAGCATAATAGTGGCTATTATTCAAACTATCTTATACATGTTTAGCATTTCATGTGGTTGTGGCAATTCAAGAGCAGAATCGGGGAGTTCTAGGATCCCTAAGGATCAGCACGAAAGGGCAAACGGTGGCAAACATGAAATGAGAACGTTGGTTGTAGGCATCAGCCACACACGGGCATCCACAACAGCAGTGATACATGAGGTAAGATAGGGTTCAGCATGTAGAAGACAACAAAGGTGACCACCAGCATCAGGACAGTGTGGGTGGCTCTGGTCTCCGGGGGGCACCGGTGGCGTTGGCTGGTGGTGTGGATGTGCTGGAGTCTCAAGCGGCGTCTCTGTAGGAAACGCACCATGGAGCCACTGGTCCAGACCATGAGGCCAATGAGCAAGGCATCAGGAACTGACCGCAAGAAGATGATGCCTGAACTCTGATGGGAGAACTGGCAGAGCCGGCTGCCTTGTGTGTCAGCACCACTGAGTGTGTCCTGTGGAGCAGTGGATTGCATGGGTACATGGAGGTTCTTTGAGACACCAAACACCCAGCAAGCACAACAAGAAGCAGTGATTGTCTTGGGGGCTCTTCCTCTGAACAGCGACCTCTTCCTTGTCCTGGGGTGACAGTGAAGAACCGATAGGTGCTCTGGACACAGGTGGAACACAAGGTGGTGCTATGAGCCAAGGTGTGATGGACAAAATTTACATAGAAGACGGGGCAAGGGTTTCCCTGGGAGAAAAGCCACCACCATGTGAGGGATCCCTGTAGTGAGAAGGGCCAAGGAGTGGGCCACAGCCATGTGGGTGAGAATCACGTGTGTGGGCCTCAGCCGGTGGCCCAGCCTCCGTGGGGAGACATTGTGGAAGAACACAGTGACATTGGCCAGAGTCCCACCCCGGTCTGGAAGAGAAGGAAGGTTTTCAGAGCCACTTCTCCAGTGGTCTTAGGGCATTGTTCTGAAAAGACAGAAAGAGAGTTTCAGGGCCTGGGAGCAACTGTGCCAACGCTGGTACTGAGATTTCTCTCCATTATCCGACCTGGTATAGGACGTCTGGGCCTTAGTATCTTCCCAGTGGGAGACACTTCATCTTCCACAAGAGAAGACACAGCTGGAGACACAGCTTTCATACCAACATGCACCTCACAATTATACTTGTGTATTGTTTCTACTTACTTTTATATTCTGACTTTCCACCGAATGTAAGATCCATTCCTTCAGAGGCCTTCTCTGTCTTGTTACACACAGAGGCGACATAGTAAGTACTAAAGACATTGGTACTTTATAAATGATTATATGGAATGAAATAACAACAAAATGCCCCATATGATCCTTAGAATTCATGAGCTTCCTGATTGTTATAATAATGCATTAAGCAATCCCATTACTGGGCATCTAACCAAAAGACCCAATGACACACTACAAAAAAGACACCTGCACTCGAATGTTTATAGCAGCACAATTCATAATTGCAAGGCTGTGGAAACAGCCCAAGTGCCCATCAATCCAAGAATGGATTAATAAAATGTGGTATATGTATACCATGGAGTACTATTCAGCTCCAAGAAACAACGGTGATATAGCACATCTTATATTTTCCTGGTTAGAGCTGGAACCCATACTACTAAGTGAAGTATCCCAAGAATGGAAAAACAAACTCCACATATACTCACCAGCAAACTGGCATTAACTGAGCAGCACCTAAGTGGACACATAGGAACTACAGTAATTGGGTATGGAGCCAGTGGGAGGGGGGAGGGGAGCAGGTATATACATACATAAAGAGTGAGATGTGCACCATCAGGAAGATGGTCACGATGGAAACTCAGACTTGTAGGGGGAGGGGGGGAAGGGCACTTTTAGAAACCTTAAAATGTGTACCCCCATAATATGCCGAAATAAAAAAAAATAATTCATTAAGAAAATAAAATGAAAATCATATAAGACTCTCAGCTGACGCCATGAGCGGCGACACTGAGATGGAAGTGTTCGGCATGGCTGCTCCTTTCCTCCGGAAGTCGGAGAAGGAGAGGATCGAGGCCCAGAACCAGCCCTTTGACGCCAAAACCTACTGCTTTGTGGTAGACTCAAAGGAAGAATATGCCAAGGGGAAAATCAAGAGTTCTCAGGACAGGAGGGTCACCGTGGAAACCGAGGACAACAGGACCCTGGTGGTCAAACCCGAGGACGTGTACGCCATGAACCCCCCCAAGTTTGACAGGATCGAGGACATGGCCATGCTGACGCACCTCAACGAGCCGGCCGTGCTGTACAACCTCAAGGACCGCTACACGTCCTGGATGATCTACACCTACTCTGGCCTCTTCTGTGTCACCGTCAACCCCTACAAGTGGCTGCCGGTGTACAACCCCGAGGTGGTGAATGGCTACTGGGGCAAGAAGCACCAGGAGGCCCCGCCCCACATCTTCTTCCATCTCCGACAACGCCTATCAGTTCATGCTGACCTATCGTGAAAACCAGTCTATTCTGATCACCGGAGAATCCGGGGCAGGAAAGACTGTGAACACCAAACGGGTCATCCAGTACTTTGCAACAATTGCAGCTACTGGAGACCTCACCAAGAAGAAGGACTCCAAAATGAAGGGGACTCTGGAAGACCAGATCATCAGTGCCAACCCGTTGCTGGAGGTCTTCGGGGACGCCAAGACCGTGAGGAACGACAATTCCTCCCGCTTTGGCAAGTTCATCCGAATCCACTTTGGAACGACTGGGAAGCTGGCCTCTGCAGATATTGAAACGTATCTGCTGGAAAAGTCAAGAGTCACCTTCCAGCTGAAGGCTGAGAGAAGCTATCACATCTTCTACCAGATTCTTTCAAACAAGAAGCCTGAGCTCATAGAGTTGCTGCTTATTACGACCAACCCTTACGACTACCCGTTCATCAGCCAGGGTGAAATCCTGGTGGCCAGCATAGACGATGCTGAGGAGCTGCTGGCTACAGATAGTGCCATTGACATCCTGGGCTTCAGCCCAGAGGAGAAATCTGGGCTCTACAAGCTGACGGGAGCCGTGATGCACTACAGGAACATGAAGTTCAAGCAGAAGCAGCGGGAGGAGCAGCCAGAGCCAGACGGCACCGAAGTGGCTGACAAAACAGCCTATCTGATGGGCCTCAACTCTTCGGACCTCCTGAAAGCCTTGTGCTTCCCCAGAGTGAAAGTCGGGAACGAGTACGTCACCAAAGGCCAAACCGTGGATCAGGTTCACCACGCTGTGAATTCCCTGTCCAAGTCGGTGTACGAAAAGCTGTTCCTCTGGATGGTGGCGCGCATTAACCAGCAGCTGGACACGAAGCTACCAAGACACCACTTCATCGGCGTCTTGGACATTGCAGGCTTTGAAATCTTTGAGTATAACAGCCTGGAGCAGCTGTGCATCAACTTCACCAACGAGAAACTGCAACAGTTTTTCAACCACCACATGTTCGTGCTGGAGCAGGAGGAGTACAAGAAGGAAGGCATCGAGTGGACGTTCATCGACTTCGGGATGGACCTGGCGGCCTGCATGGAGCTCATCGAGAAGCCGATGGGCATCTTCTCCATCCTGGAAGAGGAGTGCATGTTCCCCAAGGCAACGGACACCTCCTTCAAGAACAAGCTGTATGACCAGCACCTGGGCAGGTCCAGCAACTTCCAGAAGCCCAAGGTGGTCAAAGGCAGGGCTGAGGCCCACTTCTCCCTGGTCCACTACGCAGGCACCGTGGACTACAGTGTCTCGGGCTGGCTGGAGAAGAACAAGGACCCCCTGAACGAGACTGTCGTTGGGCTGTACCAGAAGTCCTCCAACAGGCTCCTGGCACACCTCTATGCCACCTTTGCCACGGCAGACGCTGATAGCGGGAAGAAGAAAGTTGCCAAGAAAAAGGGTTCTTCCTTCCAAACTGTCTCTGCCATTTTCAGGGAAAATCTGAACAAGCTGATGTCCAATTTGAGAACGACTCACCCTCATTTTGTGCGTTGTATAATTCCCAACGAAACCAAAACCCCAGGGGCCATGGAACACAGCCTGGTCCTGCACCAGCTGCGCTGCAACGGTGTCCTGGAGGGCATCCGCATCTGCCGGAAGGGCTTCCCCAACAGGATCCTCTACGGGGACTTCAAACAAAGATACCGAGTGCTGAACGCCAGTGCAATCCCTGAGGGGCAATTCATCGACAGCAAGAAGGCCTGCGAAAAGCTCCTGGCATCCATCGACATTGACCACACGCAGTACAAATTTGGACACACCAAGGTGTTCTTCAAGGCTGGCTTGCTGGGAACCCTGGAAGATATGGGGGACGACCACCTGGCCAGACTGATCGCCCGCACGCAAGCCGTGTGCAGGGGCTTTCTCATGCGCGTGGAGTTCCAGAAGATGGTGCAGAGGAGGGAGGCCATCTTCTGCATCCAGTACAACATCCGCTCATTCATGAACGTCAAGCACTGGCCCTGGATGAAACTCTTCTTCAAGATCAAGCCTCTCCTCAAGAGTGCGGAGACAGAGAAGGAGATGGCCACCATGAAGGAGGAGTTCCAGAAAACCAAAGACGAACTCGCCAAGTCAGAGGCAAAAAGGAAGGAGCTGGAGGAAAAGTTGGTGACTCTGGTACAAGAGAAGAATGACCTGCAGCTCCAAGTACAAGCTGAAAGTGAAAACTTGTTGGACGCCGAGGAAAGATGCGACCAGCTGATCAAAGCCAAATTCCAGCTCGAGGCCAAGATCAAGGAGGTGACTGAGCGAGCTGAGGACGAGGAAGAGATCAATGCTGAGCTGACGGCCAAGAAGAGGAAACTGGAGGATGAATGTTCAGAACTCAAGAAAGACATTGATGACCTTGAGCTGACACTGGCCAAGGTGGAGAAGGAGAAGCATGCCACAGAGAACAAGGTTAAAAACCTGACTGAGGAACTCGCTGGGTTAGATGAAACCATTGCCAAGTTAACCACAGAGAAGAAGGCCCTCCAAGAGGCCCACCAGCAGGCCCTGGATGACCTCCAAGCTGAAGAAGACAAAGTCAATTCTTTGAGCAAAATCAAGAGCAAACTGGAAAAAAAAATCATATAAGAATTATAAAATTATCAACTTAATTTTAAAAAGGGAATCAGTTGTTAACTTTTGAAACCTCTTAATATTATTTGTCAGAGTGATAAGATACAAGGCACCTTGATAAGTCAACAGGCCTCTGAATTCCTAGGTGATCCTAGAATATCTTCAGTTGTTCTGTTCAGTAGAGAACAGATGCTTATTGTCCACAGTGTGCTAGTACTTAATAAGTCCAAGAAACTAAATTGTAATGCTGAGAAGTCAGATCATGGAAGCTATTCACAGGTGGCCTTCAGTCAACCTTAGGCCACACAAAAATATAAGTATCATGATAATTAGATCCACTGCACAATGGTTTTTAAAATTATTTTTTTTAATCAGACATGTTGGCTGCTCATTTACTTGGTTTAGGGTCTATAAATAAGGTTCTCAGGCCAGAAACCTGAGCTCAAAACCACCCATAGCACATGTGAGTGTCACACTAAAGCAGGATTTCATCTGAGCCCTTGTGAGTGACCTAGAAGATTCTGTGAGCTACAGCACAAAGGTCGACATATTCTCACTAGAGGAGTAAAGTCTTCCAGACACATTAATCTTAATGATTACTGCAGGATCCAGAGACATTGCCAGGTACAGAAGTGAGATGTGAACTCCAGACAAAAGGCCAGCATTACAAATATTCCTTGCTTTTCAGGAAATTCGGTCCCTTCTGAAACTCCCGTGTGGCAGGCACAGGAAGGGCCAAGTGAAGAGCTGCAGCTACCAGCTCAGGATTCCCCAGACCCGGGTCTCGCTCTGACTGACCCACTCTGCGACTGAGATTGGAAGTCACCCTTGAGCTCCCAGAACCTCATTTCCTCACTCTGTAAAAGGACCTGAGGTTAGAGGCACGAGAAAAGTTTGTAAATGTCCAGCATCTGGAGCCAGACAGCTCCCAACTCATGTCAAATCTCCTACTTATTAGCTCGGTCCAACCTGGGGGATCTATTCACTGCTCTGCGCCTCTGTTTTCTCATTAAAAAATAAAGTAATTATTAATATAATTACAGGGCATAAAAATGGTGTGAGCACACAATGTGAGTTTTCTGATCACATGTGGTCACAAAGGACAAAGTTCCTTAGTGTAAGCAGAAGCTCCCCTGCAGTTACGATTTCTGTCTCCTCTGTGTCACTCACCTCAGTCATGGGCGTCCGGAACAACCACGCAGGGGACAAAGTGGAAGACGAATTCGTCAGTTGACTTTCAACAGTCACACAATTTTGATAGACTCAGAAATTAACTGACGCTCTTCTCTTTATTTGTTTTTACTCCCCTTGTTGCTCCATGTTCTGGAAAGACAGAGGGCTTTTAAACATTTATTTAGAAAGATTAAACATATGCAGGGCACACACACACACAATATAGAACACACAGAATGACACTCAGGAATCTGAAATGTTTGGAGAACCCCTAGGATGATTGCATCATACGATAGAGGGATTTGAGAAGAAAAAACGTGTGTTATAGCCTCTGATTTTCTGTGTTCCTTCTCTCTGCTTCTCTCTCTTCTCTCTCTCTCTCTCTCTCTCTCTCTCTCTCTCTCCCACCCGACCCATGTGCTTGATCCTGGGTGTTATTTTATGTTTTCAGATTTTAAAGTTATGACCCCGCTCTGCACGTCAATTTGTTAATCTGCATCCACAGCCAATGCTAGTTTGCTGGTCTGGCGTGGGTGAGAGCTCTTGGCTCTAGTAAGCCAGAGCTTGGCTCAGATTTTAAGAGGCTCCCTCCTTCTTTTCTTATTGCCCGAGGCTTCAAGGAATAAGGATTTGCAGCAAACCTCACTACTCTAGTGCAACCCTGAAACACTCCCCAGCACTTTACCACAGTCCACCTGCCAAGTCAGGACGTGGACGCTCGCTCAGGGTGACGCAGGGTCAGCACCTGTCCTGAACACGCTTCTGCTCAAGCTCAGCTCTGAGCTCCTCTCCTGTTGGAGTCCCCTCCACTCTGCCCTGAGGTGAACATGTGGAGACACTCACCGGGCTGGTCTGGGCTCCAGAGGTCTGTGCAGTGAAATGTCACCCAGGAATAGCCTGGAGCACCCACATCTGTAGTTATAGGGACAGGGCTCCTGTACCTGACCCCCTACAGGGATCTCATTATCATGTCGTCTGTAGCATCAGTGACATTGTCATTTGGGAGACTGGGGCATCTCCAGTGAGGAGCTGATCTTATCCCCAGTGCAAATGCACCCTCAGCCACCTCTGCGGACAGTGGTAACTGTTGGCAATTAGTAAGAAGGTCCTAATGAGCCACTGAACAGAAGGCAGAGAAAGTTTTCTATGTTCCCTGTGGGAGAAACTAAAAGTTCAGAACCAATGTTGTTATCAGGGTGGAGCAGACACTCCTAGGTGGTCAGGGCTCCTTTCCTGTATCCCCAGCTGGACTGTTTCAAACCCAGTGCTGTTTCACTCCCCAAAGTCCTGCACCCCCAAGGTCCTTCCACACTGACCATCAGCCTATGCTCCGGAGTCTGGATCTTCCTGTGACTTGACCTCCCCCGACTCTTGCCACACATGTCTCTTAAGTGTGGGAAATACACGAGAGGGAGCCAGTGTTTCCCTCCTCAGAACCCTCGGGCCACCTGGTGTCCACGTGGCTCTGCAGGGAGGTTGCAGTTCGCTTCCCAGGAAATGGATCCCATAATTATGTTTTGGTGGTGAAAATTTGTCTGCTTAATTATGAACGTTAGACAGGCATTTGTCCATTTATCTACCGATATATTCACATATTTTAATGTTCATAGTAAGTGATGTTTTCATTTAGAAAACCAGACAATCCATCATCAAATGCAAGTATTTACTCAGTTCTTGAACTTCACAGCACACTAAGTGGATTTTATGGGAAAAAAATTAGAAATGGGATCTAAACATACAGGACACAGTTAAGAACATAAATATAAACATAAATCCAAAAGAAAACAGTGATAACATTTATTATTTAAAATAAAATATTTACTAATTAAAATAACATTTGTGTTCATATTTCATGAAATATTCATATTTCTGTTGTAACACTTTACCTAGTGTACCAAGCAGAAACTTTATAACAATGAGCACACAGTAATTTCTATAGATTTTTCTGCTTCAAAGATTGATTTGCCTGGCCCAGGATAAACTGGAAGATTGACAATATCTGGATTCATCACAGGTAGAGACTCAGGAAGCCTGATCATCACTGATTGAATTTGAAAGAGATAAGATTGCGTCCAGCAGCTTAAAAGCTGAGGTTTTCTCGAATGTGGTGATGTGGGATCCATTCCTAATGTCACATGAGGAATCATTTCCACTGTCCATACCTCAGAAATCCCCACTCTGCGTGAGTGGGGGCTCACCCAGGTGTGGTCACAGGCTCAGTGTAAGATGAGAAGAGCTCTCCATCACTCACACCCACAGCCCAATGCCCAGTTCTGTCCATTAACGGAATCTGTGCAAACTCCCAGATCCCATCCTTTGCTCGGCTCCATGTCTAACTTTTAGCAGTGGTGGACACAGATGAGCTGGAGGGAGCTGAGAACACACATGCACTGATGGGTCTCTCAGCTGCTCTTCCCAATCCTGCTTGTAACACCCTCAGTGGGCTCTCCTCACGTCACCACAAATGGTGGGGACATGGTTGGCTGTGCCGACACCTAAGGTCACATCACTGCCCAGCAAAAATCAGCAGCTCAGCACACAGACTATGGGCCCCTCCTCACGCTAACGGGCAGCCCCAAATCTCATTCTCTACAGCTTAATTCTGTTGTTTTACAAATGTAAATTTTTATATGTATTTGTAATTATGTTAAAAGCAGTGGACTTTTTGTAATCTTACAAAGAATTTAAAAATAAATATGTCGAAATTTGTTTTCTAATATTTTGTACAGTAAACATTGACAGATATAAACTGACATAAAGGCAGTTTAAAATTCCTATTAATCTCCTCTTCTCTAAATCAAAATTTTCTGGTGAGAAACATCCATATCCTCCCTGAGTAGGTCAAATTTTAAACATAGCATGTACAAATATAGTGGTAACAAAAAGCGAATCTTATTAATGATGGGTGTTTTCTTTTTTTCAGTTATATATTTGATTAAAGATTGTTGTTTGTTCTTTTGACTGTAAGATCCATGAAAAGAGACAGTGACTGTTGTTTGCTTTTACTTTTATTACGTACATAAAGACAGCAAAATCTATTACACATTTTGAATAAAGTAAAATTATTATATTTACTTCTGGGTAATATTGAAATGGTAGACTTTTTTCTTTTCAATTTTTCCTAATTTTGTCTTGCTTCCAAGCAAAATGAAGAGGTGATGCTTGGAGTCCCAAGATGGAATGGATTTCCTCTGTGGATGTCGAGACAGTGGAAGGACCACTATTCCCAGATAAGCATGGATTCCCTTGGGCACGTGTAGAGATATCTTTGGCTCTCGGCATCAACCCAGACTCAGAACCAACATGGGAACCTGGAGGGGGATGGTATTGTGTGCTGCCGACATCTCCAGCTACCCCGAATATTCAGGATCAGAGAACAGAGCTGCTCGTCCCAGCCGGACTGTGCGGACATGGCGGATGGGAGCCTCTGAAATGAGCCCTCTGAACTCGTCCCTTCACTCACTTCCTCGTGACTGGAGTTGCTGGAAGATGCTGGGACTGTCTGAACGCTGTAGGGTGGTTTTCAAGGACAAAAAAAAAGTGTGGAGCAGGTTTTACCATCTCAAATACCAGTGTGTATGGAGCAAAAATTAAACTAAACAAATGTGATTCAGCTTTTACACAATTGATACTGTGGACTGGAATACCTCCCAGAGCACACGACTCCGATCCGCACCGCATCCAACACGGGCACCGTTGAATATGTGACACGTTGTTGTCATGACAACACATATGTTATATATGTTAGCCCTGCCTGTGCAATAAGGTAGACATCTTTTGGATACTTCTTGAAGGAAAATTATTATGTTTATTCCCCAATGGTATTGAAATAGTGGACTTTGTTGATTCTATGACACATGACAGTAAAAATACAATACATTATTATTGCAATATTACATAACAATACAACATGTAACAACTACATCATTCGATGATGTACTGTATTATTATTTTAGTGTGTCATATACATCAATACACATAACGTAGGGAGAGAATGAGCAAGGAATTGGGACATTCCAATGAGCCTGGATTCTGGAAGCTGGCAGGTCCGGCATCACTACTTGAGCATATTATACATGGAGCTCAGCTGCGATAATTCTCCTGAGTGCTATACCTTTTCTGAGCAGAATCAAATGCCTGTGTGTTGAGCTGTGATATGAAATCAAGCACCATTCCACATAATCTGGGTCAGTTCTCAGGTCCAGAGTCGGAAGCTGGACCTGTGCCTTCCACCCTGTGCCTGGGAGCCCCACGCGCTGGGATCAGTTAATTTCCTCTTCTGGTTCCCCCGTGCTCTGGGGAATAGAATCACCTGGGGGGCTTTGAATACTGCAGATTCCTGGGCCCACAGAGAGAGTGGTGGAGATTCACATAGTGTGGTCCGGGAGCCTGCGGCACCAGCACCACCTGGATCCCGTCAGAGCCAAGATCCTCAGGCCCAGTGCACTGGAATAAAAGGGCCCAGGGAATTTAATGCACACACTAGTCTGAGAAGCCCTGGTCTAGTCCTCAGCTGCCCAATGGACACCTAACGTGAGCCACATGTATTAATTTACCAGATTTTGTAGCCCCATAACAAAAAGTAATAAGAAAGATTAACAGGCCACTTCGGTAACATATCTTAATGTACCAAAAATATTCTCATTTTCAGGTGCCTCTACCCAAAGTCCAGCTGGACAATAACCCCTTGTGTCTGCTGTGCTGGAATGCACAACTCCAGGACATGACTTAAATATTTTCTTTCCTTAAAAATCTGCAGTTGGTTCTAATCTGATATCAGGACTGAGGAACTGTTGCTTGAGGTACAGAAATCTGAGGTGCCAGAAGTCCTCTAATGCGGTAATTCCTGGAGAGCCCTCTGCACAGCTGCCTGTTCTGAGGCCGTCTGTGACAGGGCGTCTTGTGCCTGTTCCTCCAGGTGGGGCTCAGCACCCTGGGGTCGTGGGTAGAATAGATTTCATCTGGGGCTCCCGACCCTTGACCTGGGAAACCAGCTTCTGCAGATGCCAACTGTGCCTGATGTCCTTCTTCTGATGGACCCAGACTAGAGGGGACACCGCAAACCCTCCCCGAGGGCCATGGAGGCAGAAGACATAATCACGTTTTGGATGCCTGGACTTTCCGAGATAAGCCAGACAGATACCACATCTCATGCTTCTTTAGATGTTCAGCCATATTCACTGTTGGGGAAAATGTGGGTGATGATGGGTTACCCGGAGAGAATGCGTGTTGGGCCCGATTCCCTTTCATCTCTACACGCACAGAGATGTGGAGTCCCTGGCACGTCCTCCCTAGTACTACACAGTAAGGACACAACACGTGTACAGACGTGGTGCTCATTGTCCAAGTACTCCTGGTCCTGACCTTCTGATACTGCTTTGCTAGGTGGAATGAAGAACCCAAAAAGTGCTTTCTCTCTACTTATTTTCAGTCAATCATGAACAGGAGTTATATTTTCTTGAGTAGCAGGAGATGTCCTCATTTGAGGGAAAGACAAAGTAAAGTGGTTTGATTTTTGCCCCTAGTAGTTACCCTAAAACATCTTTCAGCCTGGAATAACATTTATTTTCATTTCCTGGGTTAGCTTTTATTCCCTGAAGGAGAGGAAAATAACAAATTAGGTACATTTTGTAGTTTAATCACAGATATTAGTAGGTGGGTTAGTAGAAATAAACAGTGGGTGCAGGGATGTGATCAGTTAATTCTTCACCCAGGCAGACGCACGCACCATTTATCTGTCTTTCCTTCCGGAGACGTGGAGTCAGAACTACTTTCTGTTGCGCGGGGCCCAAGGGTGAAGCTCACGCTCCCTGTGAGCTGATCGGAGTCTCCAACAGGATGCACATCCACAGGGACAGCTATCACCTGCCTGCCATACGCACCTCTTCCGGCCCCTGGAATAAAGTCATTCAGGACAGGGGGTGTGCAGAGCTCCCAGTGTACAAAGTCAGCTGCCACACCAGAGGTGGGGTAGAAGGTGGGCAGAGAAAGGAGGCATGGAACTGGAGGTGTGCCAACGATGTGGATTTTGATTTCTTCTTTGTCTAATTTTTTGAATTATGGAAATACTGATGGCAAAAATCACTTAAGAATCTCCATGCATAACGTGGCCTCCGTTTTAACCATAGCCCCCTTTGGTCTTTTTGAATCTCTTTTGAATGTACTTGATAGATACACATCAAGGAATCAAGCTGCAGGTTAAACACTCTGTGTGATTCTCCAGGCCTGACAAAGGCTGTGCCCGGCCAGCCTCCTCGGGAAGCTGCCCTCCCTGCACCAGGTGTGGCTGTCTCTGAGCAGCTGCCGTCTAGGACCGGGGTCCTCTGGCTAGTGGTGTGCTGTCACTACCTTTGTGTTCCTACCCAGGTGCTTTCTTTCCTGGGTCTCCAACCGAGGCCTTGGGTGGAGCCCCTCTTCAGGTCCCTCTGCCCAGGCCTCCTTTCGGGACAGAGAGACATGTTCCCAACTGCGATTCAGCACCCAGTCTATTTCCACTCCTAGCTCTTCCTGCTCACACTCCCCCTGCCCCCCGTGCTTACCCAGAGTCTACAAAACTGCCAGAACTGTTCTTTGGGCGTCTCTAAACAGTGAGGAAACACCTGTGTCTGGGCGGATCCTCGTGACCCTCGACAGGTGTGTGTTTGGGGGAAAGTGGGTGGAGGAATTGGTGCCTTCTTGGTCAGACTCTTGCTTACGCTGCGGTAAGGGTCCCCCGCCCCTGTGCAACAGAAAAGAAAGAAAACAATAAATTCTATGGGAAATCTACACCAGGAACTAAGGTTATAAAACTACTAACTTGCTTTATGGCGTATGTAACTTACTTTCTTAGAAAGCACAGGGCTGCACGGGAAAGGTAATGCAAGGCCGACACGCATGCCTGCCCACTCCCTGCTCAGCACCTGCCCCCTAGGAGTAGAGACAACTACTTTGTAACTGTGCCCCTCACCCTTCCTAAAAATGTATAAAGGACCGTTTCACTCTTTGTTCAGGGCTAGGAATTTGGACCCTGTCCTCTGAGCCTCGCTGGTGAATAAAGGCTCGTCTTGTCCCCTCCGGGTCTCTGGGTCAGTGCTTAGGAGAAGGGGACCCTGCGCCTCCTGCCACATCCTGGCCCCCTTGCCAGGAGGGCGTTTGGTTGACGGGACCCAAGGCGCCTTAGGCTGCACAGCGGGGTCCTCAGTTTCCCTGCTGACACGTGCCACTGAGAGCGCTCCCGAGGCCGCTGTCACCCCGAGTGGGAGTCTCACCTGGACGACAGGAGCCCCCGCCCGGAGCCCCAGCCTGGGCGCAGACCAGGGGAGGACCGAGGCTCTGGCAGACGTCTGAACCGCGGTAGGAGCCCGGGCCTCACCCCGTCCCGCTGACGGAAGCCCCGACAGCCCGCGGACTCCAGTGTCCCCTACAGCAGACACCGGCCGCGCTGGCCGGGCGGGACGTGC